CCGCTCACCTGGGTTGTACCCATCCCCAATTACCATTACCATTACCAACTGCTGTTCTTTCTGTAGTACTGATATTGAAACGACCGACCATTTATTTTTTTCATTGTAATTGCTCTGGTATTTTTGGCAAGATGTTTTTAAATGGTTACAACCTAGTTTTTCGCAGCTGGAAAATTTCTGTCAGAAAGACAATATTTTTGGACTTATACTGGACTGTAAAAATACATCCCTTTTAGTGAACACTGTTGTAATTTTTGGCAAATCATATATACACAAGGCCAAATGTAAAGAAATGTCTCCCAAATTTTGTCTTTTTAATGAGTTTCTAATCTATGTAAAAGCCCTTAAAATAATGGTGTCTCCTATAGCTAAGAAACTTCTCAACATGATTGAAGAACTTTATTTAGCAGTTTTGTAGCCTGTAATCGCCCCTGTTTTCAGTGTTTTGTTTTATTTATATATTGATTTTATTTTATTTATTTTCTCTTTTATCTGTTCTGCACCTATGCCTCTTTATTTAGTATTTGAACACGTATTTGTAACACTGCCTTGTGGTTTGTATAAAACTTTCAATAATAAAAAAAAAGGACACACAACATGTATACATTCATTCATTTTTATTCAGGCAAACACCGATGCTACCTAACTCCAATAAGACCCTTGTATGGGAGGTGGCTACGTTGACTCCGCCCACTTTTACAGACAGGAAAAGTCTGCTCGAAACTCGTCTTCACATTAAAATGAGGACGAAGTGAGAGCTGCAGCTCAGTGTTAACGGTGACGCAGTGTCAACAGAGTCAGTTTAACAACACTTAGTGCCGAACAGCCTCTCACATCAGCTGGAAACACCGGAGGAGGTTGTTAGCTCTCAGTTAGCTTGTCTGGCTAAGGTTTGTTTGTATCGTTTCACGTCGAGGTTGTCACTACTGGTCCCGGTTGTGTAGCTGATCAACTCACCTGACGATGGGATCGAGAGCATCCACGTTACTGCGGGAGGAAGAAATCGAAGAAATCAAGAAGGAAACAGGCTGTGAGTTGTTTGAAGATATCTGTGTTCCTGTTTCAGCTGAAAGTCTTTAAACACTCCTGTGCTGTGCACACAACACGTTGTGTTGTGTTGTGTTTTTGGTGTCCTGTTATCAAGTTTTAGACCTTTTTAATTCTTTCCTTCCCTGTAGTCTCTCACAGCCAGATCACCAGGCTGTACAGCCGCTTCACCAGCCTGGACAAAGGAGAGAACGGGACCCTCAGGTAACAAACACCTGGGCGGGACAGGTGGGACAAACAACTACTGACAGTCATTAAAACCATCGGTTACAGCTTTGTAAACTGATTTTCTGTTTTAGATTTTGGGGGGAAAACAGGAAGTATTTCACATGATGTGTTTGTGCTTAGAGTGTGTGTTGTGTGTGACTGTCAGCTACTACCACAGCTCTGTACAATGACCATCTGTCTGTATCCATGATTCAAACCTCCCAACATGACCAGGACTCATTCTACAACCTCAGTAGTTGTAGGGAACAGTTTTAGTGTTGCTTTGTGAAGATGAGTCCATCCACTGCTTCATGACATGTTGTGTTACTGACAACTGGTGTGGCAAAGCTGGATCCTGTCTCTAACTTAGAGGGGTGGGCCATCAAAAACAATACTTTACTTTAGTATTCACAGTAAAATAAACAGACGGAGTACTTCAGTATTCACAGTAAAATAAACAGACAGAGTACTTCAGTATTCACAGTAAAATAAACAGACACAGTACTTCAGTATTCACAGTAAAATAAACAGACACAGTACTTGAGTATTCACAGTAAAATAAAAAGACACAGTACTTCAGTATTCACAGTAAAATAAACA